AATATTTTCCCTACATTTGACTGTACTTGGTCGGTTTCCTAAGACTTAAGATTCCACGATCATCTACAAATTCTATGTAAACGAGCCTAAAGTCTATCCAAAAGATAGATTAGATTCTATATAGTTTGCTTCTGTTACTAATAATTGGTTGGTATAACAGACTAGCAGCAAACACAACTACAACTACAACTACAAAATTTGTTGTCACATATTTATCGATCATCGATTAAAGGTGACTGGTGGCTTGCTGAATTAACAAAATCCTTTCTCTCAGTGAAATAATTATATACTTAGAGAAAAACTTAATGATAACAACTATAAAGTGACAAGGTATACAAATTTTATATGTATAATAATAGAATCAATGTATTTAGTTCACAAATTCTGCGGTTTTTTTTTATTAGCTCAATTGAATATAAATATCTTCATCAAAAATGACCGAGATTTAATTTTCAAAAAAGGATTAACTATATTGCTTTTATAGTTGTAATAACTAAAATAATTTATTCAACTATATATATTAATTCTACATACAAACTTGTATTGTTAGTTTTATAATTAACACCGCTATATTATTTTTTCTGACAAGTGCAGTCAAGATGCAAGGACGTCGTGTCAAACTGAAAACAAATTTCTAGTTTTATGAATTATTTCTAATTTTATGAAAAAATCTCTTACAAATGTAAATGTCTCTTCTCTTAAGTGGCGAACGCAAATTTATTTACGTATCTCGCTAAAGTGACGCCTTCGCAAAAGTCCACGCCTCGGTAGATTTTTCGCGTTACGGTAAACGAACGAGAGCGGAGAGATGAATGTATTCAGGGAAATTTTCGTACTCTATGACTTTAAAGCCGGGTAGGCTTTATTTGCTCTCCGATATAACACACTCGGTGAACTATTTTTAAGCTGCTTATTTACGCAAACTGCTATCGCGCGCGCGCATTTACACACACAAACACACACAACACACACTCTCTCTCTCTTTCTCTCTCTCTCTCTCTCTCTCTCTCTCTCTCTCTCTCTCTCTCTCTCTCTCTAAATTCTGGAATGATATCCCACTTGACATTCATAACGCTATCTCTTTAGGTCTCTTTAGGTATCTTTAAATGTAAATTATGTGACTATTTGAATTATACATTACATGAATTTGTTTTTGGCTTGTTATTTATCATTATTATTATTATTATTGTCTTCTTATTCTGCACTTATACTTATGTATTATTTGATTTCTACTTGTAGCTTTTTCATTATTTTCCTATTTTGCTTTTTAATCGTTATTATTATTATTATTATTATTATCATTATTATTACTATTATTACTTCATTTTTACTGTTAATTTGATTAATAATCAAATAAACAGTAAAATTTACTTTATCGATCGTATTTTCTTTAACTTGAGAAGATGTTTTCTTAAAGCGCTCAATAAATAACGATATCTATCTATCTTTTTCTTCCTTTCTCTCTTGGTTTACTAAAAAGCTTCTTCTTGAAGGATTCTCGGCATGACTGTGCATCGTGATTTATTTCCTCAAGCGAAGAGCATTTAGCTAACAAAATGAGCCGTCAAATGGTTTACGTGGCTCATCGATTTTCCGAAATATACTATCCGCAGTCGCGAATCTTGGAACATCTCGATGACAGACGTCAGCGATTCGCGACAAATTATGGCGCTCCCACTACTTTCGTTTCTCGATGGATCAAGCGTCGTCAACGTGAAACCGAAAACCCCGGAAAATCGAACATCTCATTTGTCTCTCTTCGACGGGCTTCACGAAGGAAATTCATCCTTGATAAGAATGAAAAATGAGAGCCGCTGCTCGCGAGATGAGTGCGGTCAATGTCAGAGTATGGAGTGCATTCCAGATGGCGATCTAAAAATTCACGTTCTCGCAGGAGGGACGATCGAAGGTGCGGCCACGTGGTCGATTCGACGACCGCGAGATATAAACTCGTTCGCCTCGCTCTTTGGTCCCACAGCTTTTCTAAAATTACGCGAATTCCGTGTGTTGCGCTGAGGACCGAATACGCGAGGGCACGCTAATCGGCGACTCAATCTATTTGGCGATTAACGTGGCAAAAAACGTCACTTACCCCATGCGGCTGCCTAACGAAGCCCCGGTGGTTATTTCGGTCGTCAGCCATTGCACCTTGTGCTGAAACCGACCAATATAGCGAGATTAGATGAAGATATTACCACACACTGAGAAAATATAGTTAATTTTAATAAATATTTAGTTTCAATACTGCCAACTAAACATTTACTTACAGTAAGTAAAGTAAGTAAGTAAATACTTGTACAATAAAAAAAATGATTGTTAAATTAAATTAACATTTCTTGGATCAAATAAATATATCTTTATATTTAATAAATATTTAGTTGGCAGTATTCAACTAAATATTTTTATTAAAATTCATCTTTATCTTATATCTTTTTTTTCAATGCAATAATAAGTTAGATAGAAAAAAAAAATAAAATCAATTTAAGTTTCATGGATAGATGAATTTGATAAATTGTTGATCCTGTTTTTTCAAGGCTATCAAGTTACGGTTAATTTAACTGAATTTTTCAAGCGAATTAATGGTTCACATGTAAATAGAAGATCGTACAAAATTTTCTGCTGTTTAAGAATGCTTTTCTAGATGATTTCGATTTGTTCGAGGATCGATTAGAAATCGCGATGTATCTTGGTCGATGATTCTCCCTCAAATCGCGAACGGTCGACTATTCTATCTGACCTCGCACGATCGGGACTCGTCGTTCATTCTTGAACGACATCTTGGCATCCACAGAATTAACGTCATTAAGCGAATTGACGTGGTTTTATGCGAGAAACGAAAGGCATTGCGAACGCTGGCGCACGCACGCACGCACGCACGCACGCACGCACGCACGCATGCACGCACATTGGAAAACGTTGTCGCAGGCAAACTTGGCTATCATTGCGGTTGATCGGTGACGTGTCGTGGTACAAAATATTAAGGGAGAAACGGGGTGTCGCAGGACAGGTCAGCGTAAAATTTTCCCTCGCACACAAATTGCACGCACACTGAGAAAAAGATTTTAGTTACACAAGGGAAGTTCCCATGGGAAGTTGCTGAAATTAATCAGCTGTTATTTTTAAGAGCATATACTGAGAGAAAAGTGTTTGATATTTGTGACCATAAATGCATAGTAAAATAATTAAGGTTTAGGAGCTCCATTTTTGTGATTATTAATGCTATAATAATCTCTTATATGTATAATTCTATCAAACTTATTAATATTTGTTAATTATTTTCAGATCTGTATATAATTAAATATTTAGATATTTCAGCAAAACTGTTATTTCTGTATATAATCATAAAAATATTCTCATATGTATTTAAGAATTTATCATACTTTAAATTTAGGAAGCATTCTGAAAAAATATCTTAAATTTTTTCAAATTTTTTAAGTTTTTTTTATAGATAACATAGGATGAAAATCTTAGAATATCATGTTTCAGAATTCACATACATGATAAATTCTAGAAAAAATGTAGAATTTCTCTTTCAAAAATAGTTCCAATTCATATAAGAAAATCTGAGAAATTTTCTTGAGAAAGTTATAAAATTATACAGAAATTTTGAAAAATTCTGATTTACGTAAACATTTTGAAAAAATATATGAAGAATTCTAAGAAAACTGTTCACAGCTGAAATCCGATCTTCTGGTTGAAATTTATCTAGTAGATAATTATGCAACCGATTTTTTCCTGTACAAGAATAACGACGAAACCGAGTATCCGCATATCCGCACGTTATATATATATGTATAATGTAAATGCGTATATACGTATACATATGTACTAATATACCAATCGAGCGGTTGTACAGACACTCGGCAGGTAATTACCTACTCCGAAACGCAGTTGACTCTCCTCGCAACGGGTGTTCGCGTTTATTTTTTGTTTTTATTATCTTTTTTACAGCACCACACCGCGAAGAGATTGCGATCGAGCTCGTCGCACGCAGCCGCTACTTGCGTCGAGGATACATCTAATATTTGAATAAATGAATAAAAAATGAGTGAAAATACTGATTCGAATACATTTCTTTTTTATTCATTAAAAAATGAATAAATATTTTTTCATTCCATTTGAATGAATATTTTTTTTATAATATAATTACGAATATTTTCATTTCATATTCACTTTTACTCTGTATTATCTGCGCATAGTTTGCAAGCCTACAAGAGAAAACAGAAATCTATAAAAACAATGGCTAGGATTAGTCCGCGATTTATACGATGGGCGTCCTTGTTTAATTTATAGATTAAACAAAGACATATTTATTGAAAATAAATAATATATCTCGGAATTTAATGTCCACAGACCACAATGAACGTCGCCCAAAGATATCCTATAAAATATTTATAACATTACTGTTATATAATCAGAATTATATCGAAATATCGAAATATGTATGGCGCTCTCTCAAATAGATAGATTTATAAATAAAAATGTATATCTTTCTAAAATATTTTTCAAAATTTCTAAGTTTTCTTTATAGAATCTGAATATTACAATGACAAAAATAAATAAAATTCATTTTTTTTACTTAAAATCATCAAAGTACCGATTATAGTTAAGAGATAACGATTACTTATTAGAGTTTTCTTTTTCAATTTATATTTTGTTTGAATGAATACGAATACTCATTAAATATTTATAGTTTTTTTGTGAATAAATATTTTTTGAAAATTCAAAATTTTGTATGAATATATATATATAATTACATTTTTTTTATGTGAAAATTTTGAATAAATACAATTTGAAGCTCAATTACAAATTTTTGTATTTACCGGCCACACTAGTCGAGGACTATACGAGACGAAGTCTTCGGTTCGCCGCAGCTGCATCGCCGCGCGATTAGAAGAAGATCGCGAGAGGTTCTCTCGCAAAAAGCGATCCGTCATTACCGGCTCTCGGGGAGCGGCCTCGTTTGCTCTCCATGCGATTTTTCATAATGCTAAATCGCGATCGTGACGAGTGGATCATCGCGCGAGCCTATCGGCGCGAGCTTATCGTAAATTTTGAAGGAACGAGCGCACTGAACAAATGCATAATACATGCCGCACTCACCGTGTGATAATTTCGATCGATGCGAATGCACTTACTGAAACGGAATATTCCAAATCGAGTCGAGCGAGCGAAATAACCAACGAAAAAGGAAATTGCGCCTCGACGTTATCCCAGAGGTAAAACTTGAAATACCGAGTTTCTTGCACGCGCGCGTGCGAGAAGTTTCGTACTTACAACTTGACCGCTTGAAAAGCAAACCGCACAAGATCGTGTTTCATATTGGAATATATATCGGCACGTAAAATATGAAACATCTTGTAAAGTATTGATTTCTGTGGGAGGCCGTCTTGATATTTTTTCATGCGAGAACGAGGAAAATTAATTTATGTAAGAAAAAAACTCATACTAAAATACATACTAAAATACATTATAATAAAATTTGAAAATTTTATAATAAGTTTTAAGTTTTCACTAAAATTTTGTGTGGACCAAGATATTTATTCCTGCGAGAAAATAACTTTTTTCACTTCTTACTTATTTTTCTGGCACCGGTACAAGCAACGGAGATATTTCAAGTGATTAAATCAGTTTTTACAGCTGCACACAAAAAGAATTTTTTAATACTTTGTTGAAATATTTAAAAATTTAGCTACATACAAATCTGAAAATAATTATGTTCGACCATCAAAGTAATTATGACTTAAGAAAATAATAGCGCTATAAACAGTTTTGAATATTCTAATAACCGATGCGTTTGAGCGTTCAATATAATTATTCAAATTAACATATTTAAATATATTCATTTTCAGATCTGTATCATCTGTGCATTTTCAGATCTAGTTAAATTTTAAAATATTTCAATAAAATATTCTGTGCAGCTTTAAAAAACAAAATAACTAGATATATAATTGTGCATGCCGTCGCATAAGAAATGCGGTGTTGTAACAAATTGATAATAGTCGAAAACGTAAATGCGCAAAATGTTGGCACCTTTCATCCTGCCATTCGTTCAAAAGCACGATATTGTTTCAAGTTTGTAATCAGCGATTAATAGCCGCACCACGCACGTGCTTTTGATGCATTCTACGTGCATGTGAGCGTGCATTTGTGTGCATGATTTTAACCGCTTCATTTATTATTGTGGGGCGACATTCATCATGGATCGTTTCCGATAAATTGTTCTCAATACGCACGTCGAAAACAATCACTTTCTCGAAAATCAAACCGAGTCTCTATTACACTAAATTCACATAGCTCGTGTTTTCATTTCTTAGAAACTTTAAAGAAAACGATCAATCATTGTTTGATGGTAACATAAAATACAGATACATGCACATTGAGAAACAAAATTGCTGCTTTAACTAAATTAATTAGTACATCCTTATTTCCTTCGATGAAGAATGAATTATCTTATACAATTAAATTTCCCTCCAATAATTACAAAAGCTTTTCGCAATAATACTTCGCATAAAATGAAATTATATACAAGTTACAAAGTGATAAAACATATTGACAGCATTACTAGTAACAGTCTAATTGAAAATAATCTTGTTGAATCAATAACAATATTAATAAAACAAATGACATTTTTCGCTTCTCTATTTATTTTTGTGCTAAATAATATTTCATTAAAATAAGTATAATGTAATTTGCTAATATTGTTATTAAATTATAACACACTGACAATAAAAAAATTAAAAATGTTACGATTATACCAACAAAATATCTACAATAATGCATTATGGGTACCAAAACTGAAAACAGAGAGACAGAGAAAATTTTTAGTGGAATTTCTATCTCAATATTTTATAGAATTAGAATATTTGATAAACTTAATTACGTAAGCATTTGATTTGTACACTAAGGAAAAAAATGATTGCAATTATCACAATTTAATTTATATTCGTTGCCAACAATACATATTTTTTTTATAAAAAACTAGAAATAATAATTATTATTGTTAATATTATAGCAGTAATTATAAAAATGAATTCCTAACCCCATAATTATTTTACCATACATTTTACCAGAATTTAATTATAATTTATAATAATTTTTTGCCAATGTATTTTTTTGGTACAACTATAATTATTATTATTAACATTACAACAGTAATAAAAATTAAAAATCTAAAAATGGATTTCTTAATACGTATTTTACCATACAATTATAATCGCAAACACTTTTCTTTCAGTGTATCTTTCCAGTTATATCTACCAAGTTTTCAATTTACGCAACAAGATTTTTTTCTCGTGCAATTGTACATATAATAGCAATGTTTTTTAGCAGCAGTAAAACTTTTTTCTCCCTTTCGCCATTTCGCAAACTTCAAATATATACACATTTACTTCATTTTAAGTACGAATGTACTGATACTAGTTCAGCTATAAAAAAGACTTATTAATGAATTCGATCACTCGCATTACATTCAATTGTACTGGATTAGTGTATATTAAAGGACTAATTTATTAAGTACATGCGCTGGCATAGTATAATTAATACTGACAATAATTATATATATTTTACAATAATTTTTTTTCATAATTTGTTTA